TCCCTCTTTTGCCCAAGCTAGAGTGAAGTGGTGCAATCTTGGCTCACTGAAACCTCCTTCCCCTGGATTTAAACGATTCTTCTGCCTTAGTCTCCTGAGTAGCTGGGATTATAGGCATCTGCCACTACACCTAACTTTTTATATTTTTAATAGAGATGGGGTTTCACTGTGTTGGCCAGACTGGTCTCCTGACCTCCGGTGATCCACCCGCCTCAGCCTCCCAAAGTGCTGGAATTACAGGCGTGAGCCACCGCACCTGGCCATCTTCCTTCAGTTCTGTCAGTGTTGCTTCATATATTTGACTGCTTTGATGTTAGATGTGTATATATTTATTGTTATATCTTTTTGGTGAATTTACCATTGTATCATTATATAATGTCCCGCTTTTTCTCTTATGATAGTTTGTTTTCCTTAAAGTCTATTCTGTTTGATATATGTATGGCCGCTCCTGCTCTCCAGTTTCTCATTTGCATAGAATATCTTTTCCACCTTTTCACTTTTAGCCCATGTGTATTTTTTGTTTATTTGTTTGAGAAGGAGTCTCGCTCTGTCGCCCTGGCAGGAGCACAGTGGCGTGGTCTCGGCTCAACTGCAACCTCCACCTCCTCAGTTCAAGCAGTTCTCCTGCCTCAGCCTCCCGAGCAGCTGGGATTACAGGTGCATGCCACCGTGTCCAGCAAATTTTTTGTATTTTTAGTAGAGACAGGGTTTCACTATGCTGGCCAGGCTGGTCTTGAACTCCTAACCTCATGACCCGCCAGCCTTGGCCTCCCAAAGTGCTGGGATTACAGGTGTGAGCCACCGTGCCTGGCTCCCATGTGTTTTTAGATATAAAGTGATTTTCTTGTAGGCACCTTATCATTGGATCTCATATTTTTTAGCCATTCAATGTCTTGGTATGTTTGATCTTTTTACATTTAAAAAAACTACTGACAGGAAAGGACTTAGTATTACTTTAGTGTATTTAATCCTTTTATGTTTAAAGCAATTACTGATAGGAAAGGACTTAGTATTACTTTTGTTCATTGTTTTTTGTCTGTCTTACAGCTTTGTCTTTCCTCTCACCGTGTTTTTTGTTGATTTTTTCTAGTGACGTTTTGATTCCCTATTTCCCTTTGTATATATTCTACAGATATTTTCCTCATGGTTACCCTTGTAATTCCATAAAACATCTTAAAAGTTCTAACAATCTATTTTAAACTGACATTTTAAATATTTAAATATTTCAAACTGATAAATTAACTTCAATCACGTATAAAAACCATGCTCCTTTACCTGTCTGCCTCCTGTTTTGTTATTGATGACTCAAATTGCATGTTTTTACATTGCTTATTTAATATAGATTATTACTTTTTATGCTTTTAGAAAAATTCTGGGCCAGATGCAATGGCTCATGGCTGTAATCACAGCACTTTGGGAGGCCAAGGTGGGTGGATCACTTGAGTTCAGGAGTTTGAGACCAGCCTGAGCAACATGGCAAAACCCCATCTCTACAAAAAACACAAAAATTAGCCAGGCATGGTGGTGAGTGCCTGTGGTCCCAGCTACTTGGGGGACTGAGGCAAGAGGATGACTTGAGCCTGGGAGGCGAAGGTTGCTGAGAGTTGAGATCATGCCACTGCACTCCAGCCTGGGTGACAGAGCCAGACCTTGTCTAGAAAAAAAAAAAAATTCTATACCAGATTTATAAGTGATTTACTCACCTACATTACAATACAGGATTCTGTATTTTTCTGTATATTTACCTGGGACTTACGTTTTTATTAATATATGGTTTTATGTTCCTGTTTATCAGCTTTTCACTTGTAGGTGCTTTTTTAGAATTTCCTACAGAATAAGTCTAATGGTGATAAACTCCCTCAATTTTTATCTGAGAAAGTCTTAATTTCTGTTTTTGTTTGTTTCGAAAGGGCACTTTTGCTAAACATAACATTCTTGATTGGCACCGCTTTTCTTTTGAATACATCATCCGACTTCCTAGCCTGCAGGATTTCTGCTAAGTCTGCTGAGAATCTAGTGTGAGCTCCTTTATATGTACTGAGTTGCTTTTTTTTGTTTGTTTGCTGCTTTCAAGATCTCTGTCACTAGACAGTTTAATTATGATACGACAATATGTCTCAGTGTAGATCCCTTAGATCCCTTTAAATTTATTGTGGTTGGATTTATCTGAGATTCTTGAATTCATATATCCATATTTCCAACCATTATTTCTTCAAATAGGTCCTCTACCCTTTTCTTTTTCTCCTTCTGAGGTTCCCATAATGCATGTTTTCTTCTATTTGATGCTATCCCAGAAGTTCCTCAGATTCTCTTCATTTTCCTTCATTCTTTTTTTTTTTTTTTTTTTTTTGCTCCTCTTCTTTTTCTTCTTCTTCTTTTTTTGGGATTCATCCTGCTTGATGTTCTCTGAACTTCCTGGATCTGTGGTGGGATCTGAAACCAATTTCAGGAAATCCCCAGACATTGTTACTTTATTTATTGCTTCTGTTCTTTTCTCTTTTAATTTTTTTGATGTTTCCATTATGCATATGCTGCATTTTCTGTAGTTATTCCACATTCTTGAATATTATTCCATTTTTTCCGTCTTTTTTCTCTTTGCTTTTCAGTTTTGTAAGTTTCTACTGACATGTCCTTAAGCTCAGATACTTTCCTCAAGATGTGTCCAGTATACTAATGAGCTAATCAAATGCATTCTTCATTTTTGTGTTTTTGATCTCTAGCACTTCTTTTTAATTCTTTCTCAGAATTTCCATCTCTTTGCCTACATTATCCAGCCATTGTTGCATGTTGCCTAATTTTTCCACTAGCACCCTTAGGATATTAACGGTCATTGTTTTAAATTCCTGATCTGATAATTCCAATATTCCTGCCATATGTGAGTCTGTTTGTGATGCCTGCTCTGTCTCTTCAAGCTGTGTTTTTGCCTTTTAGTATGCTTTGTAATTTTTTGTTGAAAGCTGGACATGATGTACTGGTTGAAAAGAAGCGCAATAAATAGGCCATTAGTCATGTAGTAGTGAGGCACAGGGGAAGGGGAAGCATTCTATAATTTTATGATTATATCTGAACCTTTTTTTACAATTAGGACAGAATGAAGCTGTCACTCTGGTACCCAGGCTAGAATGCAGTGGCATAATCTTGACTCACTGCAGCCTCCACCTCCTGAGTTCAAGCCATCCTCCTGCCTCAGCCTCCCAAATAGCTGGGACTACTGGCATATACCACCATGCCCAGCTAATTTTTCTTTTCTTTTTTTTTGGGGGTGGGGGGTAGAAATGGGGTCTCTGTTGCCCAGACTGGTCTTGAACATCTGGAATCAAGCACTCCTCCCACCCCAGCCTCCCAAAGTGCTGGGATTACAGATGTGAGCCACTACACTTGGCCTGTCTCAGTCTTTAAGTGAGCCTGTGGCCCTAGGGTCTGAACTTCACAAGTGCCCCTCACTTCTTTTCCCAGATGGCTGGAGGGAGGTATCTTCTGTTCCACGTAGGTTAGAGCTGACTGGAGTTGGTTATTTTTGCCCTTTCCCCAGGTCAGTTAGATTCAAAACCATAGCAGATTATGATCTGGTAAAATAGTCTTCCTTGGGGGAAGGCCTTGTTTAGAACATAATGCTTCTCCCAACCACCCCTAATACCTGAGGGGATTTTTCCTGGTAGAGTTCCAGGAGGTAAAACTCGCAAAAGCATTGGGTCCCCTGGAAGTTTTTTAACTCTCAGACTTGTCCACACTGAGTCTCTGGCAATTTGTTTATTACCGTTCAGGCTTTGCTACCAGTACTGGTTCTTGTAGTGGTTTTCTACTCAGGGTTTCTGCTAAGTTGTGACTATATATCTGCTGTCTGTCAGAAAAGGGAATGCTTCTCAGCTCTTCTAAAGGAATACTTTTCAGAAGGCCCACAAAGCAGTGAACTGAGGATGCAAGTTGGGTAAGGAATTACTACCATGGCTATGGTTCCTAAGAAATCAGTGCATTCATGAGTTATTTGAAAAGGAACTGTTTTATTACCTCATGTCCAGAGATAAAGATCCTAAGGTCTGTACTGTAATAGCTTTGACTGAAGGAGACTGACAGTTGGTATTATAGGTTGATTTGTATCATGGCACTCTTATCATTTGCCTGTAGCTGTAAATGCTTAGGAGAACCATGCTTTAGTCCACCCTTGCCTCTCTCCACTGAAGTCAGTGTTGTTTGTACCATATGGGTTATTTGGGAGTAAGTTGGTTTGGGATGGGCATTGCACCAAATTAAAATTTGATAATTCCACAGTTTAGGTCTTATAAGCATGTAACACATACTATTATGTAGTATGAAAGCAAACTGTGTACTTTGCATATATGAATTCAGTTAGTTTTCAGAGTAGCCTAATTAGGAAAGTACTGTCATGTCTGTTTTATGGATAAGGAATATGAGACTTAGAAAGGTCAAGTAAATTGCCTGAGGATACGCAAGAAGCTAAAGGTAAGTGGCAGGGCTGCAATTCAACCTCCTGACTCCAAACACTAGTAAATACTACCCTACTCTTTTCAGTCACTACCATTTCATGGCTTTCATTCTTCCCATTCTCCTTCTCTTGTCATTCCCTCCACCCCACCCCTACTTTTCCTTCTCCTCTTTAACTCACTATGTCAAAGAGAAAAGGAAATACCATTTTTGAGACAAACTGATTTGCTGAAAGTTCAAGTCTACTATCAGTATATAGTACTCATTTCATCATATTCTACATTAACAAGGTAAAATATCCATTTATATTTCTGCTTTTGTAAACTGGCATGCCCTTTATTCACATTTCAGTTAGGATCATACTATTTTATTATTGATTCGTATGCATACTTAGAAGGAAATTTTACATATGACTTCCTGTAGTCACCTATTACATGCTGAGGGCTGCAACAAATATTAGACTAATCTAATCAACAAGCAGAAGTCATCTAGAAGCAATTCAGCTTTATGCAAAAATAATGTAGGCCCAGTGCCCTAAGTGTAACTGAGACGGACAGATTTTTTATTTAATTTCCTTTATATGTAGGGAGAAAAAACAAATTTTAGATTAGAATGTACATAAATTTCAGTTTGTTGAAGTTGGCTCTGGAAGGGTGTTGTACACCCTCATTTCCTAGTGGCCTGAAAAAGAATAATAAAAGAAGAATAATGAACCTTCTGTACTTAGTATAAGGAAATGCCTTTTTTTTTTTTTGAGACGGAGTTTCACTCTCGTCACCCAGGCTGGAGTGCAGTGGTGCGATATTGGCTCATCACAACCTCTGCCTCCAGGGTTCAAGCGATTCTCATGCCTCAGCTTCCCGAGTAGCTGGGATTACAGGCGTGCGTTACCACGCCCAGCTGATTTTGTATTTTTAGTAGAGACAGAGTTTCTCCATGTCGATCAGGCTGTTCTCAAACTCCCGACCTCAGGTGATCCGCCTGCCTCGACCTCCCAAAGTGCTGGGATTACAGACATGAGCCACTGTGCCTGGCCTAGGAAATGCTTTTTAAGTACTTGAGGTCTGGCACAATATTTACCATTCCAATACTCCCATTAACTTTGGTTTTTCTCCTCAGGATGATAAATCTGTATTCAGAAAGGCTTTGGGTACAGTTGTAGTTTATCTGCATAGATAATATCAACCAAGTTAGAACCAATAAAGAGTAATATAGAATGACTATTTAAAATACTACAGGGAAAAGTTGGTTTTTTTTTTTTTTTAAAGCTAGAGTGCCCGAAGTGAAATTTGGCCAAAGCGGATATCAATTCCTAGACTTAGGTTTTAACTTAAATGGATTTATTTATGGCCTCTAAGACAATCATTTTATTCTTACTGCATTCATGAAATAATTCACTAACACATTTCCCCCAAAGAGTTGCTAATGCAATGCTCTTTCGCTCAGTGGAGTCATCTGATTGTTTTAGCATATGCATTATCATCTCACCATCAGAATATATAAGAAATGTTTGACCTTTAATTGAAGTTGCAGAATATAGCTGCTTATTGTGTAGCATTCTAGAAATGTTTATAAAAATATGAAACCATGGGAGATGGGAATAAAAAGTGGTCTTCATCCCTGCTTTGTGTTAAATATCTGAAGAAAAAAATGTTCTGGCTTATGAATTGGAAATATTTTCATCCCTAGTAAACACGTAGCTGCTTAAGTGTATTTCTTAACACTGTGAATCATAGGGGAATATTTAAATGTGACCAAAAATTCTACATACATAACCTAGGAGGCAATATAATAAAACATAACAGCTAAGACTGTGCAGAGGCTGCCCAATAGACCTGGGCTGGAATTCTGGATCCCCCATTTATTGGCTGTGTCACCTTGTGCAAGTTTCTTAACCTTGCCAAACACCCATTCATGTGTAAATGTAACTAATAGTACCTACTTCACAAGGTGTGTGGTTGGGAGGGATTTAAATCAGTTTATGAAAAATGCCTATGCTTGGCACACAGAACTCAACAAGTAGTAGCAATTATTATTACAAAAGCGAAACAACCTCTTAAATAAAAATATTAATGTCATCAAAATTCAGTCATTAAACATATTTTATGATTAAAAAGAAGACTGCCAAAATCATGAAGCAGTTGGAAAATAAAAACATTACACTTGAAATTTTTAGAATTTTTTGGTTATCATGAGATTTGACATCTTAAGTAAAAGGTCTATTTGTTATACCATATTCTGGTGTGCTCTAGTGGTTTTGACAGGTATACACATAGATGTTAGGAAAAAAAACCCTTTGGTTGTTGCAATTATCTCCTTATTGCATCTAATTGTACCGTGGAAGCCATGGAAGCCTTTAAGAGAACTTCTATAGGCTTAGAATGTAGTGAAAATTGTTCGGGGACTCTATAACATTTGTATTACCATAAAATCGCCACCCTTACCCTTACTCCTTCCCCACCCACCTGCAAAAAAACAAGAAAGAAAAAAAGAAACTATTCTAGTAATCAGCTGCTTCATTGTGCTAAAAAGTATTTCTGTTGTGGAAATATTTGGCAATGAACCAAAAAGAATTTGGCATTTGGAAATATCTTCCATTGGCATAGCTTGTAATACAGTTCACAGAAACTTTTAAAAACAACTTGAATATAATATCTGTAACTTTCATATTTACCATACTTTGGGGACAGGATCTTAAATCTTCCTGTCTTACTCATCTTCACTTTTGAAGTTCTTTCAGAAATGTTCATGCTGATTAATAGTTAAACGATTTAAGTATTAACTTACCCATTTCTAGCACATATAATAAATAGCCTTTTAGTTGTTTTCTTGCTTCTGAAGCAGCCAGCATCCTTACAAATTTTTTCTTTACTCATTGTTCTCAAAAATTGCTCTTCAAGCAAAATGTGGTTTCCTGTATTTCCTGTGTCATTCAATTAATGTATTTCTCCAAGTCTAACCATAAGAACTAGATACCACACACAGTTTCCTAACAGATGGAAAATCCTTATGTTTTCACTTAACATCCCTCTACTAAGCAGCTCTCTGGGAGCTGTCTCCCTTGTCCCATTAGTATGATAAAGCAGCCAGATCCCTGAAACATAAATGATAAAAGTGGATTTCATATCTGACATTTTAAGTTACCAGACATTTTTCCTTTATGGCTTAATCATTGAGATTTTTGAAGATAATATGTACAGGAGGGGAAAGATTTTTATTTCAGAGACTGGAAAAAAGAAACACAGCATTTTAGTAGATTGCATAAAAATGGAGCAATAGTTAATTTTTATAATTTTTTACTTTAGCTATTAAAGACTTGTTTTTTTATAACTACATTTTAACAGCTTTTAATCTAACCGTAATAATAAATACTAGTTCCTTTGCCCAGGGTTTGTAAATAATCAGAAAGAGTTCTCAGGCAAATTTGGCTTTTAAAATATTTCATCCTGTTATATTTTGTTGATTTCTTGGGAACTGGTACAGGGAAAAGAAGAATAAAAAATAAGATTCATTTATTTCTTATTTGCTAGAAAAAAAGCTGCTATTCATATCAAACACACTCTTGGGACTACAGGGCAATTAAAAAGAAATCAATACTAAGAAAAAAAAGCTGCTATTGTTTTCTTCACTGGCAGAAGCAGCATGTAAGTGGCAACTCATGACTCTAATGATGCATCATCCCTAGGCAGATTATTTATAATACATATGTAAAGTCAGTGTCACTAGTGACATCTATATGTATTTAACCCTGAATCTTCAATCTCTTTTATCTTTTATTTGGAGGAAACCTATTCTTGGTTTACTTGATACCTAGACTAGTTTGGTATAGAATTGAACAATTCTACATCAATTTGTCTCCACTGTGACTATTTTAACTAGCTCAGTTTTAAGCCTTGTTTAGAAATGGTAATTCCTCTTTCTAAATCTAATTTTATGTCCAAATGTTTTTGGTACAGCCTGGCCAAATTCAGGTCCCCATCTAACTTACTTTCGTATTTATTCAAAGACTGAAAGGCGGCCACAAGGATGCAGCATGAATGAAGGGTGGACTAGTATGAGATGAGACCGGATGGCGGGGTAGGGGGATCAGATCATATATAGCTATATGAAGGCCATGATAAGGAGGTCAAATTTTATTCTCAGGGAAGCCATTTAAATTACAATGACATGATGTGATATTTCATTTTTAAAAGATCACTGTAGCTGCTGAAAACTACATGGGGCAGGAATAGATGGGAGACCAGAGAGGAGGCTCTTAGCATAATCTAGAAGATTAGACCAGAGTAATCAAGGCGATGGAGAGAAGGGGAAAGATTCAGAATATGTTTTGCAAATAAAAGGTTCCAGGATCTGGTGACAGATTTTACGAAGGCTCTAAGGAAAAGAAGCATCAAAGATATGCCTAGGCCTGATACTCAGTTCATGCCACTGCCTTGGCTGCCTAGGTCTTTGTGTGAGTCTTGTTATGAAGGGCCAGTGCTTTTCTGTATCTGATGAGCCAAAGTTTTGGGCTTGAAATGGGGAAAAATCATGGATGAACAAGTTTAGAGAGGAGACAATCTAAGTTCTGTCTGGCTACATGTTTCAACATTCCCAGACTGATGAGATTTACTTTAAAAGTACCTTCATGAAATTTTTCTGAAACTTTATTCTACAGCAGTGCCAAAAACATTCCAGACAAAAGTGGTCCTCTATTATTTCATGAAACAGACATGAATCTGATTTCTTCCACAACTTTTGACATCTTATCCAATAGTGAATTAGCAAAGTTTTGTTAGCCTGCAGGGGTTTCTATGAGGGTTTCTCACCTCAGCACCACTGACATTTAGATGGGATACTTTGGTTTAGGGGGCTGTTCAGTACATTATAGGATGTTTAGCACCATCCCTGGTCCACAAGATGCCAGCCGCAACCCTCAGTTAAGAAAGCCGAAAATGTCTCCAGATAACACCAAATGTCCTTGGGGAGCAAAATCATCCCCAGTTTAGAACCAAACTAAGCAACAGAATTTTCTAGCATGGTGCTAATAGTAACAAAACTAACACTTATTAAGCACTTGTTATAGCCCTTTTATCTTATACTACCAGAGCCAGTAGGTAATGTTTAAAATCTTATACATCATACAAATAGATAAATGCCTTTAATTTCTATTTTAAATGTAATTATAAATCCAGTCAACAACTGATGTTGAACCACAGCCTTTTGAGTATGAATCCACTGGCTGGATTTCCAAATTGCCATGGTACATGAAGCATTTTCTACCATTTTTAGTTTCAAGTATTTTAAAATGGGGTAAAACTGGATTCTGCTTTCATCCTTGCTTTTTACATTTGTCCAGTCTTTTAGTTTTCTTACCCATACCCAGTTTAACTGCTTTTTGGCTGGCGATGGGTTGAGGGGAACAACTAGCTTTTTTTTTTTAAGTGTTTCTAATACATTCAACCTAGCTTTCAAATAAAACCAGAAGTCTTTTACACTCAGTTTATTGACTGCTGAATATTTAACTAAATTACATAATTACCCTAAGTAAAACAAAACCGATTCAATGACCACTGCCACTAGCCTTTTGTAAGCATGCAGCTGATCATCTGGTGGGACAAAAGCATAAGGTTGGTTAGAGAATAGCCTCCTAGCGACAGTCTTCTACCATGTGATATAAGCAAGTATGCCTATCAGCTAGT